TCTACTTAGGAAGCTCCTCAGACCCATCGCTCAGAACTTGCAGGGGGCAGGCGGCTCTGCGGCCAAGGGGCAGTCATGCAAATATTTTTAAAATACATGGTGTATAGCGCTGCATCACTACCTACCGTTGTGAGCAGGTCCACTAGAAGTTGAGGAAAAATGAAGACTGTCACGTTCGCGATCGTCACGACCATGATGAAATGGAACCACACCTTGGCCATCTTGCTGCTATCATCATGGTCTAGTGTAATGAAAATGCGCTCCACCGTGGTCAAATGAATCTTCGGATGCCCTTCATACATCAATGACTTGCACATGTCCTTCCATTTGCACTTCTTTTTGGTAACGTTCCCGAAGAAGTTCTCTGTCTGTGGATCTCCCACTTGCATGATCTCCATGATGGTGTAGGACATGTTTCGTAGAGCCACCAAAGAAACCTGCGATCCAGATCCCGAAGCTTTGGCCATATGATCAAAAAGGTGCCTGAAAAACATCATGTTGAAAATCACCTCCTCTGGCGGCATGAAAGGAATAGCCACTTCGGGAGGTTGCCTTTCTGCATTGATGTGGTGTCCATCGACCTTGAAAGTCTTGGTCCTGCTAGCGTCCATACCCGCTGCCTCGTCCGCGGTGTCTTGGCGCCCTGTGCGTGCATCGGAAACGGAATTCATGGCCGGCCAGCTATGCTTCAGTCTTTGACTGTGCTGAGCCAACCTATGAATGCCTGCAGAGCGCAAAATTAAGCACAAAGTTTGGGGACTGCTATGATGCTTACACAAGACACCACCACTGGCAAGTAGTTATCAATTATATAATATATATATATACAGTATGTGCGTGTGTGTGTGTGTACATTCCAATCGATCACTAAGCATAGTCCACCTAAATTGTGCTACTCTGAAGTGAAACCCTGCCACGCTGTCGAATGTAGCACATCGCTGTTGTACCCAGCCTGCTCCTCCACCAGCTTTCACAGCTCTGCAACCTTCCAAAGTTAAAAGGCCGCACGACTCGTCAAGACCCATTCGGACAAAGTCATGCCGTGCCAGGTGTTTGGATTGCGCAGCTGCATGGTTCATCATTGTCATTCTTCTTTGGTTCCATCATTACTTACAGACCTGCGCTTAGTTCAGAATAGGATCAACACTGAAGCATACAACTGCCCAAAATACATCCCCCTCAACCATGGACAGCTTTCTGCAAAGCTCAAAGGTCGCGGTCAGTGAGTTTGCATTGCTTATCATTGGCTGCAGCGAGCGAACACCACAGAACCCGGCTGCGAGCAGAGCGCGGGGCAAAATTAACTGCTCTACTTCAGCTAGGAAACAACTCAACACCAGAGACGGTGACCCTACACTTACACACCCTTGGACAAATGCAACAAACAAACATGATCAGTGATCAGTCATTGATGCCAAAACGTGCTGAAATGGACCCACAATTCAAGGCAACGGAACCATGGAGGCATGCAAAGGCGTTGATCACACAGCGGCATCTAAGTTTAAGGTCACGTCTATCTTAAACAGGTGTTGTTGCTCGGGATCTTCCAAAATTGCGACACATAAGTGTTCAAGGGCTTGCTCGACATTGGCGGCACCCTCACATATCTGGGCCTGTGACTTGGTCACCTGTAAGACTCAAATATGCAAATAAAATGATATACATTGAAAAATATACAAAAAAAACATTCATACATAATCTACATAATTATATGTATACTGTATGCCTATATAATTGTGTCAATCCACACCCAATTGTGGAGCCCATACTGGAGAGGGTGAGACTGAGCAGCCAATGAAACTCTTGAGTTGTAAATCCAAATTTGCGCAGTTCCTGACGTGGCACGGCAATTTCACGCCTGTATGCCACAGCAGGAATGCCTGCCACAGGACCACATGCGTTTAAAGCTGGGCACCTGCGGACTTACGCCCTAGGCAAATCCAAAAGGGACAAGAAAGCTCTCGCTTGACTGTCTTGACTATGAAAATGATATGCTGCTACTGTAGAGTATATATCCCTGTGTTCACCTAGCTGCCAACTCAGCGCCAAGCTCCACAAAACAAGGGATAAGCACAAAAACAGGTACGTTCAACGGTATTTTTCTCCAATCAACATGTGTATGCAGCAAAGTGGTCAAGCGATGCTTTGGCTTTTGGCCTACACGCCTACACGCTACACTTCTACACGTCCCACCTGTTGGAACAAACAAAACTCTGGCGTTGCTGTTCCGGGAAGTGTTACTGTTAAAGCGGCATTTCTCGCAGAGACACCCGGTCAGTGCTAGCTGAGAAACTGCCTTCCACCATTGAGGTGAGGGTGTTGCGATCGTTTGCACCTGTCTATATATGCAAGGTTGCACAGTGATGGAGAATCAAAAAATATGCTAGGGTACAGTGTACAGTTAGAATATAGTTTTACCCTAAGACCCCAAGGCCCCAAAAACCACATCATTGCGCCATATTCTAACTGCATGTTCATATTCAAACTCCATGTCAAAATCCTTTAGGCTAGAAAACCCTACTAAGTACCTAAGGAAAATCCATGGTTTCATGTTCTAACTGTTGGTCCGCCATAGTAGTTACGTAGTTGTTGCTACGGCTCTTGTGTCAATTGCCGTTTTATCCAATGCTGCTATCTGCTATCTGCTATCCTGCATACGAGGTGGCTTGCAGGGAGTTAGCAAGCTACAAAATTTATAATAGAAAACGGCACCATGTCCATCTCTATTGTTCATGGAGGCATGACCACCGAGCTCAACTGATCCCACAAAATCTTTAGCCAACGACAAAATTTCATCAATGCTCAGTGGTTTACCACCAGCCACACCAACCAAACAATTTGTTTAGCACAAATCTTCGTAGCAAAAGTTGGGGAAAACAGATTCGTAAATTGCCCAAAGATCGCCACGAAGAAGCTGTGGCTATGTGAGGACTGATGTGTCTACTCGTGTCACCGCTCTGAAAAATTGGAACACCCTTACCCGCAAGTGTTGTTCCACGGTTTCATCCTTTTCATCTGCTCCTTTCTGAAGAAAGGAGGTGTGACTTGCAATGTTTGCAGGTCTTGGTGAAGGGACCAGACAACTTCGGAAGCCACTTCAATACTGAGTTGTCAGTGAATTACAGAAAAGGGCCTCGCGGCCGTGTCTCTATACACGACTAAGCGGCGCTGGCTCTGAGGTCCCTCTTTCAAAAGCGCTCTATAGCAAAGGGTGGTTCTCCTGACCCTAAACAAACTCCCTAAACAAACTACCTCACAAAGTTTCAAAGGGTTCTCAGTTTTCTTGGCTTTTGTGCAAGCATTGATTCTCCACCTGCACCCCGCACTCCATGCGAAACGTTCCCTCAACCAGAGAATGTCACTGTGCTGGTGTTGAATCGTTAAAAACGCAAGCGGCTTGCAAGACCAAGCTCTTCAGCTTGCCTGCTTGGGATGCTGGGATTGGGGGAGGGCCACACCAGCCCTGGATGCCCACAATTGTCTAGTGGAACCCACTGGGAAAAAGTGCAAACGCCAATCCCATTCCACAAACGCCGCTGTGCCACGCCATTCCTTTTGACAGCCACGAAGCCCTGAAGGCCTAAGATGGCCAAAGTGGTCAGGCTCTGCGAAATTCTGCAGGGAGCAAAGTCATTAAGCCTTGAAGGCCTAAGATGATTGAGCTGCTCAGGCTTTGCGAACTTCCGCCTGCAGCACAGCTTCCCGAGCGAGCGCGCACGGGAGCGCGCGCGCGTGGGTGTGTGTGTGTGTCCACACCTGTGACTAAGGTTTTGAGTCACAAAGAACGCTACTAGGGCCCCAGGCTTTGCTACTAAAGGCTCCTGGTATCGCTACTAGCATATAGTTTCCCAGCGAAAAAAGAGGCAGGGGGCAGTGACAGAGTTTGTCGAATCACTCCCAACGAAGACGTACACATTCTCTGGTGATGCACCGGGAGACGTCCTGATGTGTACCTGCTTCAACTTTTAATCAGGTCTAGTGGCATCTTGTCGTGCACTCCAAAAACAGTGTTGAAACACTTTCAACTCCACAGACTCATCGCCTTTCGGTTTGCATTCCTTTTCAGTCAAGGTCTAATGCGTGTAAAGTGGGACTTCGTACTGATCCTAGCTCTTGCGAGCAACAATCTAAGTGTGTTTTCGCGACAGGGTCCCAGTGAGGGCTGTGGTGTGATCCCCGTCAAGGGGCGCCGCATGTGCACAGACCCAGATCCTGGGGGATACCACGCCGCAGGGCTCACTGAGATTCATACTCCAGTCCGGAACTTTTTGGATTGACTGTTTTTGCATGATACCACTGAGACGGTGCCGCAGGGCTTACTGAGATTGCGCCGCAGGGCTTACTGAGACTTGAACCGATTCAGAATTGCACTTTCATGTCAGTCTAAGCAACCACAGGCAGGGCTTAGGACGCGGGCATGTCAAACTACTGACTGCTTTTGTTGCACGGTTCTTTCTCTCTTTTTGTTGCTTTTCGTTTCTTGAGGCCTCTCTTTAGGTTCCAGGTGTCTTTCAGACAAGGGGCGCGCCGACCCAAATCGGCTTTACATGAATGCCAATGATGGCAGTGCCTACGGGCCACCCTAACCCACCCGCCCCCTACCTCCCTGCCCCTCAACCTCGGTTGCTTTCCCACCCGCTATTCGGGCAACAGAAGGAAATCGCACTCAACACACTTGTGTGTTGGTGCCTTTCCTTCTGTTTCTCCTACCCTATTGCTAGCTACCCGGGCGGTTTAAGACAAAATGTCCCGCTCGCGTTCTACTTAGTGACTTTCATTTAACTAAGTGGGCCTCGTAACTACACCTATCTTTCCTTCTTGCCCTCTTAGTCTGCTTTTGTTTTGTTTGCTTTTTCTGTCTTTCTAAGGCTTTTTAGGTCGCTAGTAGTTTTCAAAAAAGCGCCAATATTGGCGCTATGTGTACAAAGCTTTGCGACCGGCGGACACAAACGACGCTACTAGGGGCTTCTGGCCTTGCTACCAGGAGCCAGGACGGTACTACCTTGACCTCTGACCTTTCTAAGGGGTGTAAGGACGCTACTAGTGGCTCCTGGCCACGCTACTAAACTGCAAGCACGGGACAGTGCGCCAAGTACGGCTTCGTGCGTGTGTCCACACCTGTGCCTAAGGTTTTGAGTGACAAAGAACGCTACTAGGGCCCCTGGTTTTGCTACAAAGGGCTCCTGGCATCGCTACTGGCATATAGTTTCTCAGCGAAAAAAGAGGCAGGGGGCAGTGACAGAGTTTGCGGAATCACTGCCAACGAAGACGTCCACATTCTCTGGTGATGCATCGGGAGACGTCCTGATGTGTACCTGCTTCAACTTCTAATCAGGTCTAGTGGCATCTTGTCGCGCACTCCAAAAAACAGTGTTGAAACATGTTGAAACGCTTTCAACTCCACGGACTCATCGCCTTTCGGCTTGCATTCCTTTTCAGTCAAGGTCTAATGCGTGTAAAGTGGGACTTCGTGTTGATCTTAGCTCTGCGTGTAAAAACTCTTGGAAACAGAGTGTGACACACACACTCAGCCGCTTTGCGGCGCTCTGGCGCAAAAACCTAAATAGGCACCTATAAAGCCTTAGAAAAGAAAGAAAGAAAAACAGAAATTGGCCGGAGTGTGGCTCCATCCTGCCCGGAAAGGAGGCGCCCCCATCCTGCCCAGAAAGGGAATTATGCGAAACACATGCGCACGCAAAGGAGACAGATGAAAATGAGAAAGACGAGACAGACAAAAAGTGTGTGTGGTTGCCGATGAAGAAAAACCCAAATGAAGAGGGACAACCGATGAGCCGAACCTCAATGTAACAAACCTGGGCCACCTGAACCTCGTTGTAAGTAGAATACGCGCGCGTGTATGTGTACAAACTAAGGTCCGGACGAAAGCGCGCGCAAGAGAAGGAAAGGATGAGGATGAAGAGACAGGAAGACAGAAAGACCTGGTCGCGGCGCAGATCGTCCGTCTTTGCTCTCAGCTCGCGTAGAGCTGAGCCTTCTGCCGCAGCTGGAGCGTGGGCCGCTAGGTGGTGGGTGACAAGTTCCACTAAGGGAGCAAGGTAAGCGCGAGCCTGGGTGGTTTTGTTTGGAATGTATCCAAACGCTTGTCGCGTAAGTTTTGCAGAAGATGCGTGATGAACACTGACTCCGCGATGCTGCGGGTGGGTATCAGGCCGCAATACGTACCGTGACTCAGGGTGCGGGCGGTGAAGTCCGCGGTGCGCGATAGGCCAGCACCCAAAGGTAGACATCAAAAATGGGGAGGCCGGCAATCCCTGCCTTGCGCGACAACAGCTGATGGCCGTGAAGGACCTTGGCATCCCAGTGAGTATCGGTGGAGCGCCAAGAGTCGTGCGCCGGTGGCTTGTGGAGGAGGCGGGGAATTCGTGATGGACTGGGGGGTGGCGACGTGGTGTGTTGGCTGGGAGAAGGATGATATGATTATGGCTGGTGTTGATGTGCTTGGTGAGTGCGAATGGCGTGAGTCATCGGCCCATACGTGTGAGTGGGCGTGTATTGGGTGGTTGCTTGTTGTGATTGAGCTTGGTGTTGAAGGTAGTGTTGCCAATAGTACTGCTGCCACTACACATCCATGTCGAAGAGGTACAAGTGCGAGACGAGAGGGAGGATTGAGGACAAAGAAAGTTCGAGCAAAACAGCTGTCAGACATACTGGATGAAAGGTCGCGTGAAAGCGTAAGAAAAATAAGAAGGGTCTTAACAACCTGATCAACTGGCAAGTTGGATCCTCACGGTGAGTTGAGAAGGAATGCTACTGCGCTGCAATTTTGCTGAGGAAACCACCGCTGGAAAGGAAGTCGATAAACATGATTCGTCCCATTGCAACGAGGCCGAAAAACGGGCAAGGGAAAGGAAGGTGAAAGTGAAGCAAAGTCCGTTCGGCAATGTTTCTCGTGGTGCAGAGTGAGACTTGGTGCCATTGAAGCTGTTCGGTAACAGTGGCTTATGGCTGGTGGTTCATCACAAGAAAAAACAAGATTGAGAAAACAAGCGCAATCGTGCAGTGGTGAAAATTGAATGATCCATCCAAATGCATGTGAGAAGAAACCACGGAAAGTGGCCACTGTCACCAACCCGTACCTAAATGCGGCCTCAGTTCCCTTGCCAGGGGTCCGTGTCTGGGTCGTAGGGTAGCTGATGCAGTGGCAGGTTTTGTGGATAGCGAGGTGGTTGCAGGACGTGTGGAGAAGGTTGTGGGATCGGTGTGGCGACAGCTGTAGGGTGAGGTGGTGGTCCGTATGCTGGTAGTATGATGTGGGACGCCGTAGGTTGGTGCCGGCCCCTGAATGGGTTGCGTCGAGGGCCACCATGCCGGTGGTGGGGGTGCAGGTGACGGGGCTCCAAAGATAGGCAGTGGCTGATGTGGCTGAAAGGCTGGTGGTGGTTGAAGAGTGAAGGCTGGTGGAGGTGTTTGTTGTTGGGCTTGTTGGGGCTGAGTGTTGCTTGGGAAGAAAGGTGCCGCCGGGGCGCCGTCATCCTGTCGCCGCCGTTCGATTTTCGTGATTCGACAATTCGAGTCCCACGGGGTTTGGAGACCTTTGGGTGCCTTGAGTTTGAATACTTCCGGACTTTAATGTACCTGAACTCTTAGGTTTGGCTGGCGGGTGGCAACCGCAATCAAGTCCGCGCGCATTTCCATAAGTGTGTGCCAATACCTGTTCCAAAGGGGCAATGTAGATCCTGCAGGAGGGCACAACAGGCCCATAGAGCTGTGCCCAACAAACCTCTCTATGGTGACCTCAGGATATGCAGCCTGATCGGCTGCACGTACGTGCAGAGGTTTGATGGCTTGAACATTATTGTTTCTGACGTCTCGCCTTTACATTTCCAGGTTTACTTGACAGGTTAAGTCCTTTTTGGATCGTCAGACATGAGTTGTGCGCATCCGTTTGCTTGCACACACGTGAACACATACAGCAGCTTTCACACGCACCACTTCATGTTCATGCAATTTCATTTCAGCGCATGCATCATTTCGTGGACCTCAACGCCTCAGGCTGATACTTCTGTGTTGCACAATCCTGGATACCTCTCTCCTTTTTCCCTCTCTCTCTCTCAATCTCTCTCTCCACTTCTACATGGTCATTGATTTTACATGTCTCTCCCTTCTGAAATACGTGTGAATGAAAGGAGACAACCCCATGGAGCAGTTGACTGCCCAGCGATCAAGCCTGCATGCATGCCTGATATGATCTTGGGCCGTGGGGATTACTAATCTGCTCCGCAGTTTGCTTCCAACAACCTTCGTTGCTTGAATTCTGCGTTTCTTGAATTGAGTTGAACTTTTGGGGCGCATTGAAGGTATACACTGAGGAGTGCACACAGGTGTCTACGCAATGCGCACGGGGTTTGAAGGACAAAGACCCCTATGTCTTGTTGCAGTGCAGAGGCGTGTAAATACATGCCATGGTGATCGCTGGACTTATCCCTCTTTAGCCTCGCGTGAGTGAACATGCACTTTCTTTGTTACTGTGTGGAGTCCACGCAGTGAATCCTTTCTGACCATTTCCATCCATTGACCGTAGACTGTCCTTCTCGAGCTTTGATAGCAATAGTGGCCACTCCAGTCGGCTTCTAAATGACATGTCGCCTTTAATTGTGTCGTAGCAAGGTTCAGAAGCAAAACCACGTGCATTGTAACGTGTGTACTCGTGTCTGCAGAGACCTTGCCTGACGAAAGACTGGGCCATCAAGCATGTTTGAAGCATTTTGGAGAGCAGAAAAGAGCTGCGCTCCATCTTCTGGACTTGTGACAGCGGGAGAACCTGAGGATCTATATATATACTTTGTACTGATTTATGCATTCTTTTCATTACATATTAAGGGGTTGGTAGGGGGAGACTTAGATACCAAAAAAGTGCGGATCAGCAACTCTATTTGCTCGAGTCCTTAGCTGACTGTTGTCGAGTTCGAGGTTTTCTACCTTGATTATGTTTGCTAATTCTAATTTAGGTGGCCTATGCACGCCCACGCCTACGCGGTCGACTACGCGAAGCCTTCTACACCGTCACGAGTGAAATGTGGAAAATGAGGAAGATGCTACGACGGAGTCTGTAAAGCCTGAGCCCGCTGAAGATATTTTTCAACGGCTTTGCCCAGCTTGGCCTCAGTTGGCTTCTAGCATGCATCACAGGCTGATGAGGTTGAATGCCTGTCTGTGCCGTCTGTCTGCGCAGAAGTTCGTAAGCTTGGCTGCGAGGGATGGGCGCTCATCACTGCAGATGGAGCACATGGAAAACTACAATGGGCCAACCTCTTCCAAAGCAAGTCGGGGTAGCGAGGCTTACGCGAGGCCTATGTGGATTTTGCCTCCCTTCTTGCACACTTTAAAGACAATTGCATACCGCATACCTGTATCGCACTATATAACTTGAAGAAAGCTATATAAACCCCCAAGAACCTTCAGTGAGCACGCAGTCCTGTAAGGAAGCATTTGGTAAGGAACTACTTCCTCGTTATTCTCAACCATATACCCCGCACAACCACCAAGTCAGCCGTGGGAACTCCCATGATTCTTTACAAGTCTTTTGGCATGCTTTGAAGCTTATCGTGCCCACTCCAAGTCTTACACCACCAGAACTACGCAATCCTGTGTATGCGAAACAATGTTTTAAACAGCCTAGGGAACATCAAAAGCAGCTCCATTTAGTTGTTTATAAATATATATATATAGGCAAACAAATATGCTTCTCTATTGACTTGCCTGTCATCCTTTCAGATTTGAATCGCGCAGCACCTTCGAATCCTTCAAGCGCTGAACGCGCCGCTGAGATGGTGCCAGCCACGCTCGGCTGGCCGGAGAAACTTCCGAGTCCTTGAAGAAAAAAAGAACTTAAGGAAAAGTCTTTGAAAAAGGAAAGTTTGTGTGGGAGTTCTCCAAAAGCTTTCAGGCCAAGAATGGTCTTCTGAATTCTGCCAAGTAACCATTTCCAGGCCTTTGCAGAAACAAGGGACAAAACGGTTTGCTTGCAAATGACACACCATCTTGCAGCACTTAAGTTGCAGCCAAACCTCTAAACTGAATAAAACGATTGGCGTATGGACGCTTGCGAAGATCATCCAGAGGTTCCGCTGCAGTCAGCGGCCTGGTGGGACTAGGCAATGGGCCTAAGCAAAAGCTTCCAATGCGATGAAGGTCGAATTCATTTTAGCTTGTGTTTTGCACGCGTGGGCTGCTTGCATGTAAAGCCGCGAAAAGGAAGGCAGTTCACCCTTCCCATACTTTTTTCCGGAATTGTGGCTGTCCAGGAGCATGTGTGGATGTGGATGTGCACACCTGTATATGATTATATATATATACCGAGAGAGAGAGAGAGAGAGAGATAAAGGTTTATACATGTTTGTGCTGTGTGCACACGCATCCACTGCAGCACCCTGATCATACAAGCCAAGGTGCTTGCTCCAGTGCTGCTAGCAGTGCTGCCATTGCTGCTGGCTTTCCGCACCTTTTCGCACAAAGATCGGACCCTCACTGGAACACTCCCTCTTTCATCCATGCGTAGCATGCATTGCACGGCATGCCATACGTTGCGGCGTAGCCTTCCGTGAGTCCCTCGTTGCTCTTGGCAGGCATGAAGCATTCATGCTATATATCATGCTGCAAAGCGGCTGCTTTGGGCGGCGCTGGCTGCGCCAGCGAGCAAATGCCCGTACCCCATTGAAGTAACCTATAGAAGTACTGCAATGGGCCTGGGATGAATGACACCACAGAGCGAGCTAGAATCTTAGAATAACATCGCCTACCATGCATGAGCAAAGCCTAGCACAGGCCTAGCAAACATTAGGGAGTCTCACGAGTCACTAGTCTAGTCTTGTACTACTTGGCATTGCGACTCCACAGCTGTCCTCCGAACCATGACTTGCAAAGAGGGCGGATTGAAATTGCTCGCCTCGCGCCGCAGAAGTGTCCTTTGGCACTATGATGCTTGGTGACTTTGTCACCTGGCAGTTCTTGTCATCAAACCATTCACATGCTGCACAAGCACAATTCCTGAACAATTCGTAGGTTGGAAGTGTTGTGGCCTCCATCTTTTTCTCAAGTGCGTGTTGGCCTGTCACCCGCCTACAAAGCAACAATAGTACCTACTGAGCAGCCCCCTCAGAATTAACCTCAGTCGCAATCCAGCGCAAATACTCGGAATTTCCACCAACTGCAGCCCACGTCAAGATTGGGGCTGCATCAATGCCGTCCAGATAGCCTTCCACGCGAGCCTTCCCAGCTGCTGTGGTGTGTAGCGCAGCTTTTGTGTTGACCTCGTCTAGCTCGACCATTGCCACAAGACGCTTTTCCAAAAACTCTCGTGCCAAAGTGGTCAAGTCCGGCAGAGCCAAGCCAGTCACTTCACCCAAAAAGAACTGAGGTTCGCCCCCTTCGCCGTCTTCGCCATCTAAGTTGAGGTTTTCCACCAAAATCTGAGGGTCATCGCCCAATGCCTCCCCCATCATCGACGAGACCAGCAGCATTGACCTTGGAGGGGCCCACAATGCTAAAGCCAGCGCTGCCTCACTAGAATCGTGTTGAAGGCGCAGTACAGGCTTCTGTTCAAGGCGCAAGCCCTCAGAAATCTTCAAAACTGCCCTCCCCACACGCTGCGCAGCTTCTTCATCGGCTATTGTCGACAACCGGAGCCAATCTGGAGGGGGAAAACTATCACCCCGTAAGGCCTCATCGACTGCTTCCCCCACCGAAGCACGGCGCTCCGTGACTCTCGCAATACGTCGGCCTTGAACTACGAGAGGGGCCATAGGCACAGCCGACAGCTGCCGGTTGCCGCTGATGAAGCCACAGCTGCCGACTCGACATGACAAGCTGTGACAAACAACTGCTGCGAGCGCCGCTGCTTGAGCAAAATGCCCCAAGTGCCAGGCTCTTCCTCTCCTTGGCTCCTTGAGCCCCAAGATGAACTGAAGCCGCAGCGAAGGTGTCATGGTAGACTGTGAGGGTCCGAAGTAAAATGTTCAAACAAATGTGTGAGTTTGGAAAAATAATGAAAAGTATAGGAAGTTTGGGATTCAATCTGCACTTGTTTGTCACATATTGGCGGTCACAACTTGCTGTTAAGTTATGTGTCGTTGTCGCTTCTTGTTCATCTCTGCTTGGCCACTTGCCGTGAGTTCCACTGGCATCTTGACAAAATGGTTAGGAATCCGCCAGCGGCTGCTTCGATTGAAAAGAGCCTCGACTCTGAGCTCCAAAGCTATTTTGAGAGCTGATGGCATGTCCCTGCGATAAGTGACTCAATGACCTCCTGGTATCTCCCAACAACCTGCAAGAGACCCAGTATCACAACGGTTCATCTCAAAGCTTGAGACCTAAAATCACTACACGTTTATAAAAGAATCCATACGGAATACCAAAACGTCTGGTTCCATGATGTGGGAGATGTGGGAGATGCTGTTGCTTTCGCTGGTTCTTGTTTTGTGCACGCAGTTTCCCCTATCAGGCCTTCTTGCTCAGCCGCGGCTTGACCACGTTCTGCCGTACTTGGCTGCTGGAGCTCCTGAACAGAAATCATGACCGTGTCAAATGCTCATGTGACACCAGCTAGCCAAGCTAGCACCATCCAAAACGGCCATGAACGACAAGGCTGCAAAAGCTGCCAAGGTTCTGGGTAGACATAGATGCCAAACTGGCCTCAGAGCACATTGGCGGACCTCGTCAACAAAACATCTCAAAAATCAAACAGTGAACAATAGTGTGCTATACTGCACACTGTGTGACACTGCACAGCTGCGTCCACACAGCCACACCTGGAGATGGTGGCGAAGTGGAACCTGATCCGCGTGAGTGCTCTAGCTCCTCATTCACCGAAGTCCTGCGACTCGATCAGCAAGCTTTGATGTCTCATCGTTTCTCAGCCGCACATCTGGTCAGAAAGGCCGCATGTGTGCAATTCGGCCTTTGCAGTGGCAGATCTCCAAGCATATAGTAGTCAATTAGGGCCTGGGCAAGGCACATGTGCCGCTTCTTGGGTCCCCCATCTCAAAAAAAGGTTCGCAAGGAATGTCAATGTCTGAGCCAACCGCCATGAAATGTATACTGCTCGAAGATCTAGGAAAATACCCTGGAAAAGTCCCTGTTCGCTCTGCAGGCCCTTCCTGGCAACATTCCAAATGTGGAGAGTAAGTGGTGTTGCGCACATCACAAAGAAAGAAGCTTCGATGAAGGATGCGTCTATGTCCAAAACAAATGCTAAAATGCTTCCTGTCCTGGTCGTATGCAGGGCGTTCTGTATTCGTCGGTATTGCGCACTACTTTTCGAGCCAACGGCGGAGCCGGCAGCAGTTAGCTGTTAGCTAACTTGGAACACCCATCATGGCAGCAACATGAGTGTCTACCTCACTGCTCCTCAAACCCGGCGACTGATTCATGCAAATCCTAAACTGCGAGGTCAATTCCTCGAGACATGAGAAGATCCTTGCAATCCCGTGACCCTGTTGAAGCAGCCCCACCCACATTGGCTGCTCTATATTACTTCTGTTGAACATTGTTGAACTAAATAGATGACAAGTCTTGATACGTATCACGCATGCCCATTGAGCCTTGACAAATCAAGCAAAGCTGGGCTGAAATCATCCAATGCTCCACACCTCGCCAGCAAACAAAACAAAGATTTGGAATTCGATCAACTGCGGCTTAGCTTGATTCTTTTGTTTAAGAAAATAATAGAATCAAGCTAAGCAGCCTCGGCATCCCAACTTCACACAGCCGGAGCAACTTTTTCGAGTTGCGATTTGGGACGTGACAATATTTTGGTGGCCTGCGCTTAAGCATCTGACTGGTAAAGAACCAAACAACAACCATGAAGTCAATAGGCTCACTCATGTCCAAGTCCGAAGTCTAGGCAGGCGCTCACTGGCTTGAGACTCCGGCACTACGGTGCTAGAAACACCACAGAGTCATATGGGACCATCCACTAAAGTGGGCCTTACTTGTTCCGCAAAAAGTGCCGGGTCTGATCACATTGGCTCGGCAGTTACTCAATTGGTCTGCCTGAATTGCTTATTCAATAGGTACCGCTCCTTAGGGCGGAGAGCACAAAGGCAGTGCTCGCCACGCTAAGTATTCTGAAGGCACACTGCCTGGTGCCCGTGTAGCTGACCGTCAGACCCTTGGATACGTCTTTAATGCGACAGCCAAAAAATGATTTCCTAACAAGCGCAACAATCTAGGGCTGGTCAGCTCAATGGCTATTTGCTTCCCCATGCTCTGATTCCATGCAGCTCGTCGGTGGCTATGGTTCTTGTCATTCTTTTGTTGCTGTGAGTGTGTGTGTGTGTGTCACCCCCTGGTTCTAAGGGTTTTCCCCACCTTCACCACTTTTCCACAGGCAGGGGGCATGGCAGCTGTTTCCCTAGCCATGCCAACGAAGCTATGGGATTCAGCCGGAAGGGAATGTGGACGCACATTCCTGTACCTGCAACGTGAACTTTTGGTCAAGCTGTCCACTACCGCTTTTTTGTTTCCATGGTAGTTCATGCTTCCTCCCCTAAACCCACTTTCTTGCAGCTGAGCTTGTCACCGCACTGATTGTACAGATCGATTTCGAGGCCATTCGGAAACATTTTTTAAACAATACTGTTTTGCCGACTTATGCACCTTTCCGTTCCCTCACCTTCCTTCCCATCGTGGCAATTGAGTCTAACTGAAAACCCAACTTCGAAGTGTGGACCGCTCAGTCTTCCCACATGGGTGCTGGGTGTGAGCCTCCGAAAGGAGGCGCCGACGCCATTCCGGATTTCATCGTCCCTGCTTGTTTATAACTGATCTTTCGTTCCTTCACTTTATCTCTGAATTTCCTGATTTTCGAGCCGCCGGGCTATAAACGAAGGACTTTATCGTGATTCCCCGACTTACTTGGTTTTGCACTGTCATGACGTTGTTCATTGCATTTCCCATTTTTAACCCGCAGCCATTTGACTGAAGCTCAACGTGCACATGCTCACATTCCCGAGATTCCACTGCATGCCGAGATCTCACCTAATTAATTTGTCACAGCACACGGTTTCAGGTTCCAGAATTCACTGCCATTATCAATTCTCTCACCTCCGCTGCTGTGCCGCGCCGGCGCCATTGTTCGCAGCCTTTTGGATTGACCTCTCCATCGCTGGTCCTATGCAGTTTCCCTGGCCATATCCACAATGGCCACCACCGTGTACCGCCTCTTCAACCACCACCATGGCACCAATCTCTACCACCGGCACCTGTCCCCACTGTTCTGTCTCATCCACCACAACAGTCACTCCTCCCTCACTTTCAGACCGCTCCACCACAACTGCCACCTCCTACGTGGCCACATCCCATGCCAACACATCCTCCACCGGCACCAACTTTTGTACCTCACACACATGCATATCCAGCACCACCTCAGATGCAGACATTTGAAACCATGCCAGCACAACCTTTCCACCACCCACCCTCTATGCAACAGGCATCACCAGCCCCATCGGCTCCACCAGCTCCGCAAGCACCACAACCACAACCACATATCCAGCAAGCTCCTGTTCATGGAGACCACCTTCAAGGCGTTTGGCAGCCATACTCTCTCTTTCCACCTGTTGCTCACCCATCGCCACATCAAGCATCAGCCCCACCCACCGTTGCTCCTTCTGCTCCAACACCCCCCGCGGGGGCACCCACGCCGCCCGCTCCGGACGTTCCGAACGTCCCCCCACCAGCCAATCCCACTCAGGCCACCACTGCTACAACCGCTACGCCACCCTCCACGTCACCAGCCATTCACTTTGCTCCACCACCAGCCACCGTTCCACCACCACCGTCCCCAACGCAAGCACCTTCACAACACCGGCCTCTCATGCAACCACTGGCATCACCAATCGCAGCAGATGCCGCAGCCGACGCTGTCGCCGCCACCACAGTCGCCATACACGTGCTAAGCACGCCGGACGTCATCGCTCTCCTGCAGCCTCCACTGCTAAAGCGTCGTCGACACGCCGCCGGCGTCGCCGTTCCCCTTCAACCTCATATACCACATCTTCGGACAGCCGTTCCCGCAGCCGCTCCCATGCACCCATCACCCTCCGACCTAATCAGCAGTCTACACCTCAGCACCACATCACAAACATGTTCCAAGCAGAATTCCCCAATATTCCAGCAATACGACGGCCTCATCCGCCTTGGAAGCCACACCCACCGCATTTCCACCGGCTCCCCCACCAAGAACAGATTGCATGGTGGCTTGACTTTCACGCTACACAATTGGAAGCAGAGAACAAACCACAACACGCATACGTAGCCAAAATGCTCGCTGACATCGGCTACACCATCGATGATTTGGCAGATTTCCGTCAACTCAACCATGCGAAGTGGAATGACACCACCAATACTTATGACACCTTTTCCTACCACTGTATCAACATTCCCAGTTTGGTCGACAAGGCCAAACGCCCAATACCACCGCCTGCCACCCGTGCCACCTCCACTACCCCAGAGACAGTGCACATCAACGCCGGCCATACAGGCCCCCACGGCAACATCACTGCCATTCTCCAACAGGGCCGTTTCCTGCCCAGCACCCTTCACTTTGACGCCAACCCGGGTTTCTTTGCCCAAGCCACATGCATTACTCACCAGTCAATCCACGGCAACTACGAACAGGCCCGCGTACTACATAACACGTGGAACCTGGCAAAGAACATCCATTCTATCATGGTCCATCTCCTCGCCTGGGGTCGAGGGACCAAATTTACCAGCGGCGGCGAAGCCCAAGCCATGCACCTCTTGCAACAAGACCATGGCGCTGTTTGCCACTCAAAAGCCCGATGCTGGGTGATTCACCCCCATAACGCCATAGTCAAAGGACTGGCGTGGTCTATCAATGCAACACCTCCGGACCTTTGAGGTCCCGCCACCTACCACAGACCTACCCACTTTCTTCAACACCAATACCAACTCCACGCATTTGAGAGAGGCCCTTCCGTGAGTTTCACATTTGCCACCAACTCCAGCGTTGCAAAATCCGAGCTCCAGCCTTTTACCATTGCATTATGCTCACATGCATTGCATTTTACTTTCGTTGTACTTAGCTTGCAGTTACTCTAACCGGCACCCAGTTTTGGTGCTCAATTTGCTTTTTGATCGATTTTCGTGCATGATCGCTCAGTTTCCTTTTAGGTTTTGCAACTTGCGGAGTTTTGTTGACAATGTTCTTCTTTTCATGCAAGGATGAACTACTTTTCGTGTCTTTTTCTTTTCAGGCTGTATTGTTTCAGCCACCCACTATGTATCTCTATCTGTCCTGCAAACTTCGTGCTCAATAATTCATTTTCGTAATTCAATTGCATGTTTCGCATGTCTGCACCGGCCGCTCATGCAGTGCTGACACCTGCGCTGCGCCATCCGCTGCTCCAGCATACCACTTCAGTTGCCTGACCTCGACGCTGCCCCTCAAGATGCAGTCTCATGCCGACCAGGCTCGACTTATCCATCGAACTACGATTGCTCTCTCAATCAACTTCATCGTATACTCCAGCAAGCGACTGACATCCTGGCCAACTTACACAGCCTCTATCTTGTCCACACACAGCAGGTCGACCCCCACTTTCACCGACCTTTTCCGGCCCTCCCTCCAGCTCCCCTTACAGCAGTTCCTATCCCTCCCCCCCACTTCCTCCTGTGATTCGGCTCCTGTGGCCCCCATCAAACATGCACCACCACAGCGTGCCCCTTCACAAGCATCCTCAACCTCCACCTCTCCACCAGCACTGCCACAACCCAGGAAGAAACGCGAACCTCCACCACCCCTCAACGAAGATGCTGATTGGGACGCTTGGGACGGCGACGCTGACGTTCGCCTTGTGGAACTCAAGACAGACACCCGCCTGCGACCGAATTGGAATTATGTTGCTCGTCGGGTGGGCTTCTCAATTGAACAGTGCAAAGCACGCTGGGAAGAACTTCAAGAAGCACAACGCCAACAACAAGCAGCCCCCTCACCTACTTCACCCGTCCACACGCCACCACCTCTTTCCCCTGTCCCTTCACCTCCCTCCGCAGCAGCAATCCCACCACCGGCAACCCCTTCAGCTCCGGATTTCTCGTACACTCCTACAACACCTCCATCGCCTGCACCGGCTGCCGCCGCTATGGCCGATGCTATGCCAGCAAACATCAGTGAGGACAGTCATCCGGAACCAGCAGCAGCTGATATTGGTAGCTATTTTGTTTAGTCTCCGTTTCACCCAGCTCCTCTTGGCGCGCCCGTCGCAAACAACTTCCATGCACAACTCAACCATTGAGTGCAGACCCTTGAGGTTCTGCCCTGTTGTTTCTTTCTTTGTTATTCATTGAAACCCAATCAATCTTTCCAGCCATGTCAAGGCATTGCACAGCTGACTACCGCAATTTTGAGTTTTCCGAGATTTGATCGTCAGTCCACCTCCTACCGCCGCAGCCATTTTCAACCTCTCGTCGACTGCTTTGAGTGTACAGATCGTTCTTCGTTCATCATGGCCCCAGCTGACGTCGGACCGCCTCGCCCGCGGTCCCCAT